CCCTCATTAACTTGGTGTTAATGTAAAATGGTGCAGCCACTGTGGAAAACAGTTTATTTCCTCAAAAAGTTAAACATAAGCTGGACACAGTGGCTCACACCTGTAATCCCAGATACTTGGGAGGCTGAGGCAGGAGGATCACTTAAGCCCAGGAGTTTGAGGTTGCTCTAGCCAGGGCAACAAAACAAGACTGTGTCTCAAAAAAAAAAAGGGTGTATATGATAAGTGCCACGTTTTTTGGCAAAAACAATGTGGTAGTACAGCACAGGATGGGCAAGAAAGTCATTAGGATAATTTCTGACTAAATACCAGTGATAATGATATTCCCAAGGATGGCCTGCCATTGTCTTAATCCACATGGAGCTAGGTGCTTTCGATGTCATATAAAACTAACTGTTTGATTGTGAAATGAGAGAGGTTTTTTTTATAGTAACCCAATAAACAAGGAAACAAATTCACAGGTTAATAAATAAATTTCCCAATGCCATACAGTTAATGAGTGATGGCAGGGGGGACTAGAAGCCTTCCACCATCCCTGCTCTTTCCTTTCTACCATGCTGCCTCTCCACGGCAGATTAGTGTATCTCAAAGCCTGTGGTTAGGAAATACTACAGAATGAGAAAAATGTCAGTATATTTGGGAAGCAGCCAGGTAACAAATATCTGTGTGTGTATTCACAGGTATGTGTACAAATGTATATGCATGCACATATTTGTTCATTGAAATGAAATTGGGGGATCAGAAGAGGAAAATGACAGAGAAGAGAAAGATTTCCAAAACTTCAACTGGTGTTTGTAAAAGAGAAATGCAAATAAATGAGCTCATCTGAAATCATCTCAGAATTCCAAAGTGACTTTTCAATAAATATTAATACCTTACCATGCTCCCTTCTACCATAAGACATTTGCACATATTATTCCCTCTTCCTGGAATTCTGTTTCCTCTATTCTGCCCCTGGTTTCCCTCTGCTCAACCCTCAGATCTTAGTGCAGGTGGAAATTCCCTCAGGGATGTCTTCCCTAATCTGTCAGTGGGGCATATCTCCATTTACATTATCATAGTACCTTGTAATTTTCCTTTATAGCACCTTTAAGTTGTGTTTTTATATTTGTGTTATTATATGAGTAAAGTGTGTTTCTTCCACTTGACTCTGAGATTTGTGAAGGCAAAGAACCATGTCTATTTTTCATTAACAGCTTTATTTAGGTATAAGTTAAATACCATAAAATTAACCTGTTTTAACTGTACAGTTGATCGATTTTTAAAGTTAATTTACAGAGTTCTGCATCTATCATCACAATCCGGTTATAGAACGTTTTCATCACTCCAAAAAAATTCTTCTTGCTTATTTTCACTCAACCCCAATTTTTACCCACAGTTCCAGGCAACTAATAATCTGCTTTCTATTTTTAAAGACATACATTTTCTAGACATTTCATATAAATGGAATTGTACAACATGCAGCCTTTTGTATCTGATTTCTTTCACTTACTATGTTTTTCAGTTTCTCTAACATTGTAACATGTAGCAGTACTTCATTCCCTTTTGCTGCTGAATAATATTCCACTGTATGGCTATACTACATTTTGTTTATCCTTTCACCAGTTGGTGGACATTTGGATTGTTTCCAGTTTTTGACTGTTAGGAGTAATACTGCTGTGAACATTCATGTAGTCTTTGTGTTTGCAGTTGTCTTGAGTAGATGCCTAGGAGTGGAATTGCTGGATCACATGGTTAGTTCATCTTTTTTTAAAAAGAAACTGCCAAACTTTTCCAAATGGCTGTATAATTTTATATCCCTACCAGCAAAGGGTTCATTTTTTCCCGACATCCTCCTCAATATTTGTTATTGTCTTTTTATTGTAGTTATTCTAGTGGGTATAAAGTAATACTCTTTTTTTTGAGAAGTAATCTGCCTTTATTCACAGATGACCTGATCACCTATGTAGAAAATACTATGGAATATACAACA